ACATATTCGTAGCGAAGTTATTTCTGATTTTGTCAACAGAAGCATTCACTTTCGTCATGGTGATGTTCTTAGTGATCACGTTTCCATACAATTCCAGAAACTGCATCACGAACATGATCTTGCTCAAATCGAACAGAAGCCGCTTATTCTGGGCTATAACCATAAAGTCGCAAATCCGCTCCTCGAGATGGAAATTCTTCAAAAACAGAAAAAGTGCTTCGAAGTCCTTTCCCTCCAAGCAAACCCCTCTCAAAAGAAACTCCAGAACGTCCCCGATCACCTTCAACGACGTCCGCAGCAACTCGGTGGCAACGTCTTCGTTCACGTCACTGGAAGCCTTCACACACCTGTAGATGTTTTCCCCCAACGGAAGCATGATCTTTTTGACGACGCCATCGCAGAAGCTTTCGTCGTGGCCTACTGCCTTCTCCAGAAGTTTCCCAACGCAACTAACACTCTCTTCGACGATCCCTCCACTACCCGTCACACACAACTCGAGCACGACCTCCCAAAAATTGCAAGCGACCATCCACTCGACCCCCGCCTCGTGCTCCAAAAACGCACTCAATAGCTTGACGTAGGCGATTTTGACCGACGCCACCCCCGACTCTCTCACTTTCGTCACTCGAATCAACTTCGCGAAAAAATTGTTGTTGTTGAGTCTGGCGAATCTTTCTTCGTTTGTACACAAAATGGCGGCCAGTCGCAAAGTGAACGAAGTAGTAGTGGCCCCGGGAGTGACACCTGAGGTACTCCACGCGTCGACAGTGGCCACCAGCCACTCCGTGAAGACACAAAGTGTATATTTTAGTTCTTTTTTATCTTTCAGGAGGTCTAACAGAGTGTTTTTTGGATCGTCGTCGATTTTCAAACTGAAGAATTTTTCAACTATAGGTTTGTTTCTGACTGTTTTAATTTTATAAGCACTCATGGCTTGCCAACACAAAAAAACGATAGCAAGTGGAAGTTACTACTCGCGGCTATCACTAAAACTGATTATTTTTATCTCCCATCGAGGCATTAAGTATATCTGAGCATAAAAGTGATAACAGGTGTATGAAAAACGCGCCAGACGCATACTTACTGTTGCTAGAGATGGCAGCAGATGTGCACACCACTTCTAAAGCGGCTTTACGCACTTCAGCACAATCGTGACGTGTCTTTGAACACAATAAAGGCCCCAGACGGTTTATCGTCAAATCTGGAGTCTCCTCAACCAACAAAGCCATATTGGGAGCCATGTAATGAGCGGTTGCAATATTGGCCAACTTCATTACTTCAACCACGACCTCAGAAGACCACTCCGTTATACCCAGAAAGTCAAAACACAGACCCATCACGTACGTAACTTCAAAACCGTCTTTAAACACAAAGTCAAAATCGTCAATCAAAACACCAACAAGCCTAAATATTTCTCCGATATATGAAACTTTGTTCACCAAGAAGTCGAGCTTCGCTGGATTCTCTGTGGTTATACGGACAATGTCGCTCAAAAAGTAGAGCAAAATTTGAAAAACTATCATAGCTTGATCCCTGGAAAACAAGTCTCTCGAATTTTTGACGATTCCACAACAGCGCCTACACATTTCGTCAACATTATAAACGTCGCCAATTCGTTCATACCACGCTCCAAAAATTTTTGTGACATCAGAAGGGGCGGCTAATATCGTTTCTCGAAACAATTTCGCCCGAATGATGTCGTTGGCAATTGCCTCTTCTATATCTGACATCTTCGTTAGATCCTTTAGCAAAAAGCGTACGTGTGGCAAGCATATTAAAGTTGTCAAGCATGTGGAAAGTAGTGGGTTTTCGTTGTCAAAAGAAGGTAATTTCGTTTCTACTAATTTCCAGTACACCAAGCCAAAACTGATGAATTCCACCGTTTCCGTAAGGCTTCCCTCGAGGAAGTTTTGCAAAAAGTTGTCACGAATTTTGGTAATGGTGTCAGCCATTTTTGTCACGGCGGTAGTGTCGGTAGTTATGGCCGCGTACAATTCCAAGAACTGCATAATGAAGACAATCTTACTCAAGTCGTAGAGAAGAGTACTCTTTTGAGCTATCATCATCAAGTCGTAAATGCGACCGTCCAGGTGAAAATTTTTCAAGAAGAGTAAAAGCAAATCGAAGCTTTTTCCCTCAAGCTGTACCCCTTTCAGTAACTCCTCTAAAACGTGCACGGTTAGCTTCAGCGTGGATTGAAGACAGTCGGTGGCAACGTCGCAGCTCACATCCTCTGAACCTTTAATACAACTGTAGTTGTTTTCCCCCAACGGAAGCATGATCCTCTTGATAACGCCCCCACAGAAAGTTTCGTCGTGCTCCAAAGTCTTCTCCAACAATTTTCTCAGGAAATGACTGCACTCGTCCACGACGACACTCTCACGGCTCACCAAACACAAACCAAGAACATCCTCCCACAAATTGCTCCCCGTCATCCATAAAATCCCGGCTTCGTGATCCAAACAAGCACCCAACAGTCTGACGTACGCCGTTTTGATCTTCGTCACTTGCGACTCTCTAGTCTTAGTTACTTCGATCAATTTAAGGAAAAAGTTGTGGCTGTTGAGTTCGTTGAATTTGTCTGCGTTTTTGCACAATAGAGTGGCCAAGTTTAGAGCAAAAGAAATAGAATGGGTCCCAGGGGTGGCACCTGGGGTGCCCCAAACACCAACAGCTTTGACCAACCATTCCGAAAATACCGGAAAGATATGTTTGTCGTCTGTAAAGACCTAGTTAGAAGAAATAGTAGCGATTTTTGAACTGACCTGTGTTTCGCGACCAAAGTTCAATCAAAGTTTGCTTCAGATCGCGGTCGATTTCGGTTGCGCAAAATTTTTCAACAAGACGCGTGGATTTGGTCATAATACGAGAGGATAAAGTCGCCATTTTATACTAACATGCGTAAACGAATAATGGTTGTAAGTTATAAATCAGTTCAAAAGGAACTGTCATAGAACGATATCTCCGTTGATAACGGCGATATAATAAAAATGTTTCGATGGCACTTTCCTTTCTATTTGTAAACAGATAACACTGTGGAAATTTGGTGTACATGTATTATTGTAAAAGGTTGATAACTGTCTTTATCAAAATAAGACAAAATACTTAGATTTATCATTGCGTGAGCGAGAAAATAGGAACTCGGAGATTTATAGATTGTCCTTTGCAAAAACTTACTTTTTTTGGAAATGGTAGTAACAGTATAAATCACTTCCAACGTTGCCACGTTCACTTTTGGATTTTTGTCGAGCAGTTTTGAAAATAACAGAGGTCCCAACAAATTTACGGTGGGGTCTGGCGCATCTTCGACCAGAAGAGCCATATTGGGGGCCAGATAGTGAGCAATAGCAATATTAATCAATTTAATCACTTCAACTACTACTTTTGAACTCCACTCTGTCAAAGCCAAAAAGTCAAAACACACACTTATGACGTAGGTAGTTTCGATACAATCCTTCAAGGATATTTGGAATTTTTCTATTAACATACCAACAAGTTCGAAGATCTGGGGACAATAGAGGAAATCTTTGACCAGAATATCTATTTTTTCTGTACTGTCCTTTGTGGTACGAACGATATCTACCAAATGATAGACCAAGGTTTGGAAATACGTAATTCCTTCTTCTCTTGAAAAATATATAATACAATTCTTGCTGGTGCTGATGGCTTGTTCACAAAAAGCCTGAAGGTTTGGGTCACTCCTGTTACGGTTATTCCAAAAATAAAAAGCTCTGATGAGATCGAACGAAACTATTGACTGTATTTTCATGTCATAATCATTTCGAAAATCGTCGTTCGAAATTTCTTCTTCGAACACTGTTTTCTTCAATAAATATTTCTTTACGAAAAAAGTGCAAATCGGCATTACGAAGAAACCGAACAGTTGGGTCGTAAAATGGAACGTCCCTTTAGTAGATTTATAAATTTTACAAATCGGAAATTTCGCTTCCATCAACTTCCAAAATAAGAAACCAAATGGACAAAACTGCAACTGTTCAGAAAAACTCCCTTTGAACATATTCGTAGTAAAGTTATTTCTGATTTTGTCAACAGAAGCCTTCACTTTCGTCATGGTGATGCTATTAGTGATCACGTTTCCGTACAATTCCAAAAACTGCATCACGAACATGATCTTGCTCAAATCGAACAGAAGCCGCTTATTCTGAGCAACAATCATAAAGTCGCAAATTCGCTCCTCGAGATGGAAGTTCTTCAAAAACAGAAAAAGTACTTCGAAGTCCTTTCCCTCCAAGCAAACCCCTCTCAAGAGAAACTCCAGAACGTCCCCGATCACCTTCAACGACGTCCGCAGCAACTCGGTGGCGGCGTCATCGCTCACGTCACTGGAAGCTTTCACGCACCTGTAGATGTTCTCCCCCAACGGAAGCATGATCTTTTTGATGACGCCATCGCAGAAGCTTTCGTCGTGGCCTACTGCCTTCTCCAGAAGTTTCCCAACGCAACTAACACTCTCTTTGACGATCCCTCCACTACCCGTCACACACAACTCGAGCACGTCCTCCCAAAAATTGCAAGCCACCATCCACTCGACTCCCGCCTCGTGCTCCAAAAACGCACTCAGTAGCTTGACGTAGGCGATTTTGACCGACGCCGCCCCCGACTCTCTCACTTTCGTCACTCGGATCAACTTCGCGAAAAAGTTGTTGTTGTTGAGTTGGGCGAATCTCTCTTCGTTTGTACACAAAATGGCGGACAGTCTCAAAGTGAACGAAGTAGTAGTGGCTTCGGGAGTGACACTTGAGGTAGTCCACGCGTCGACAGTGGCCACTAGCCACTCCGCGAAGACACAAAGTGTATATTTTGCTTCTTTCTTGTCTTTCCAGAGGTCTAACAACGTGTTTTTTAGATTGTCGTCGATTTTCAAACTGAAGAATTTTTCCACTATTAGTTTGTTTCTCACTGTTTTCATTTTATAAGCACTCATGGCTAGCCAACACAAGAAAACGATAGCAAGTGGAAGTTACCACTCGCGGCTATCACTAAAACTGATTATTTTTATCTCCCGTCGAGGCATTAAGTTTATCTGAGCATAAAAGTGATAACAGGTGTATGAAAAACGCGCCAGACGCATACTTACTGTTGCTAGAGATGGCAGCAGATGTGCACACCACTTCTAAAGCGGCTTTACGCACTTCAGCACAATCGTGACGTGTCTTTGAACACAATAAAGGCCCCAGACGGTTTATCGTCAAATCTGGAGTCTCCTCAACCAACAAAGCCATATTGGGAGCCATGTAATGAGCGGTTGCAATATTGGCCAACTTCATTACTTCAACCACGACCTCAGAAGACCACTCCGTTATACCCAGAAAGTCAAAACACAGACCCATCACGTACGTAACTTCAAAACCGTCTTTCAACACAAAGTCAAAATCGTCAATTAAAACACCAACAAGCTTAAATGTTTCTCCAACGTATGAAGCTTGGTTAACCACGAAGTCGACCTTCGCTGGATTTTCTGTGGTTATACGGACAATGTCGCTCAAAAAGTAGATCAGAAATCGAAAAACTATCGCAGCTTGATTCCTAGAGAATAGATTTCTCGAATTCTTAATGACATCACAACAGCGTTTACATATCTCGTCAACGCTGTCAACGTCGCTAATTCGTTGATGCCATGTTCCAAATATTTTTTTCACATCACAAGGAGCCGTTTTCATCATCTGTCCAAAAAAGTTCGCCCGAATGTTGTCGTTGACAAGTTCCTCTTCTAAATCTGACCTCTTCGTCAGATACTTTATCACAAAGCATAAGTTTGGCATGAACATTGAAACTGTCAAGTATTTGGAAAGTGGTGCGTTGTCGTTGTCAAAGGAAGGTAATTTCGTTTCAACTAAATTCCAGTACAACAGGCCGAAACTGATGAATTCTATTGTCTCCGGAACGCTTGCCTTGAGGAAGTTTTGCAAAAAATTGCTTCGAATTTTGGCAATCGAGGCGGCCACTTTTGCCATGGTGGTAGTGTTGGTAATTACTTCTGCGTACAATTCCAAGAACTGCATAATGAAGACAATCTTACTCAAGTCGAAGAGAAGAGGCCTCTTTTGAGCTATCATCATGAAGTCGCAGATGCGACCTTCCATGTGAAAATTTTTCAAGAAGAGGAAAAGCAAACCGTAGTCTTTTCCCTCAAGCTGGACCCCTTTCAGCAACTCCTCTAAAACCTTCGCCGTCAGTTTCAGCGTGGGTTGAAGACGCTCGGTGGCTACGTCGTCGCTCACATCCTCTGAACCCTTAATACAACTGTAGATGTTTTCCCCCAACGGAAACATGATCTTGTTGATAACGCCCCCACAGAAATTTTCGTCGTGCACCAAAGTCCTCTCCAACATTTTCCTCACGAAACGACTGCACTTGTCCACGATGACATCATCACGACTCGCCAAACACAAACTAAGAACATCTTCCCATAGATTGCTCCCCGTCATCCATAAAATCCCGGCTTCGTGATCCAAAAAAGCACCCAACAATCTAACGTACGCCATTTTGATTTTTGTTACTTTCGACTCTCTAGCTTTAGTTGCTTTGATCAATTTAAGGAAAAAGTTGTGGCTGTTGAGTCCGTTGAATTTGTCTTCGTTTTTGCACAAAAGAGAGGCCAAGTTTAGAGCGAAAGAGATGGAATGGGTCCCAGGGGTGACACCTGGGGTGCCCCAAATATCGACAGTTTTGACCAACCATTTTGCGAATACCGGAAAGATATGTTTGTCGTCTGTAAAGACCCAGTTAGAAGAAATAGTAGCGATTTTAGGACTGACCTGTGTTTCGCGACCAAAGTTCTATCAAAGTTTTCTTCAGATCGCGGTCGATTTCGGTTGCGCAAAATTTTTCAACGAGACGTGTGGATTTCGTCATACTACGAGAGGATAAAGTCGCCATTTTATACTACCGTAGGTAAACGAGTAATCGTTGCAAGTGATGAGTCAGTTTAGGAGGAGCTGCCACAGAACGATATCTGCGTTGATAACGGCGATATAATAAATATGTTACGACAACACTTTCCTGTGTATATTTGGATATAGATTACGCTGTGGAAATTTCGCGTTAATGTATTATTGTAAAAGGTTGATAACGGTCTTTATCAAAATAATACAAGCCACTTATTATATCATTGCGTGAGAGAGAAAATCGGGACTGGGAGATTAGAACCGAACACTAAACTGATTTACAGATTATCCGTTTCAAAAACTTACTTTTTTTGGAAATGGTAGTAACAGTATGAATCAATTCCAACGTAGCCACGTTCACTTTTGGATTTTTGTTGAGTAATTTTGAGTACAACAAAGGTCCCAACAAATTTACGGTGGGGTCTGGCGCATCTTCGACCAGAAGAGCCATATTGGGGGCCAGGTAGTGAGCAACAGCAATATTAATCAACTTGATCACTTCAACTACTACTTTTGATCTCCATTCTGTCAAAGCCAAAAAGTCAAAACACACACTTATGACGTAGGTAGTTTCGATACAATCCTTCAAGGATATTTGGAATTTTTCTATTAACATACCAACAAGTTCGAAGATCTGGGGACAATAGAGGAAATCTTTGACGAGAATATCTATTTTTTCTGTATTGTCCTTTGTGGTACGAACGATATCTACCAAATGATAGACCAAGGTTTGAAAATACGTAATTCCTTCTTCTCTTGAAAAATATATAATACAATCCTTGCTGGTGCTGATGGCTTGTTCACAAAAAACCTGAAGGTTTGGGTCACTCCTGTTACGGTTATTCCAAAAATAAAAAGCTCTGATGAGATCGAACGAAACTATTGACTGTATTTTCATGTCATAATCATTTCGAAAATCGTCGTTCGAAATTTCTTCTTCGAACACTGTTATTTTCAATATAAATTTCTTTACGAAAAAAGTGCAAATCGGCATTACAAAGAAACCGAACAGTTGGGTCGTAAAATGGAACGTCCCTTTAGTAGATTTATAAATTTTACAAATCGGAAATTTCGCTTCCATCAACTTCCAAAATAAGAAACCAAACGGACAAAACTGCAACTGTTCAGAAAAACTCCCTTTGAACATATTCGTGGTGAAGTTATTTCTGATTTTGTCAACAGAAGCCTTCACTTTCGTCATGGTGATGCTATTAGTGATCACGTTTCCATACAATTCCAAAAACTGCATCACGAACATGACCTTGCTCAAATCGAACAGAAGCCGCTTATTCTGTGCAACAATCATAAAGTCGCAAATTCGCTCCTCGAGATAGAAGTTCTTCAAAAACAGAAAAAGTACTTCGAAGTCCTTTCCCTCCAAGCAAACCCCTCTCAAAAGAAACTCCAGGACGTCCCCGATCACCTTCAACGACGTCCGCAGCAACTCGGTGGCAACGTCTTCGTTCACGTCACTGGAAGCTTTCACGCACCTGTAGATGTTCTCCCCCAACGGAAGCATGATCTTTTTGATGACGCCATCGCAGAAGCTTTCGTCGTGGCCTACTGCCTTCTCCAGAAGTTTCCCAACGCAACGAACACTCTCTTTGACGATCCCTCCACTACCCGTCACACACAACTCGAGCACGTCCTCCCAAAAATTGCAAGCGACCATTCACTCGACCCCCGCCTCGTGCTCCAAAAACGCACTCAATAGCTTGACGTAGGCGATTTTGACCGACGCCACCCCCGACTCTCTCACTTTCGTCACTCGGATCAACTTCGCGAAAAAATTGTTGTTGTTGAGTCTAGCGAATCTCTCTTCGTTTGTACACAAAATGGCGGCCAGTCTCAAAGTGAACGAAGTAGTAGCGGCTTCGGGAGTGACACCTGAGGTAGTCCATGCGTCGACAGTGGCCACCAGCCACTCCGTGAAGACACAAAGTGTATATTTTGCTTCTTTCTTGTCTTTCCAGAGGTCTAACAACGAGTTTTTTAGATTGTCGTCGATTTTCAGACTGAAGAATTTTTCCACTATTAGTTTGTTTCTCACTGTTTTTATTTTATAAGCACTCATGGCTAGCCAACACAAAAAAACGATAGCAAGTGGAAGTTACTACTCGCGGCTATCACTAAAACTGATTATTTTTATCTCCCGTCGAGGCATTAAGTATATCTGAACATAAAAGTGATAACAGGTGTATGAAAAACGCGTCAGACGCATACTTACTGTTGCTAGAGATGGCAGCAGATGTGCACACCACTTCTAAAGCGGCTTTACGCACTTCAGCACAATCGTGACGTGTCTTTGAACACAATAAAGGCCCCAGGCGGTTTATCGTCAAATCTGGAGTCTCCTCAACCAACAAAGCCATATTGGGAGCCATGTAATGAGCGGTTGCAATATTGCCCAACTTCATTACTTCAACCACGACCTCAGAAGACCACTCCGTTATACCCAGAAAGTCAAAACACAGACCCATCACGTACGTAACTTCAAAACCGTCTTTCAACACAAAGTCAAAATCGTCAATTAAAACACCAACAAGCTTAAACGTTTCTCCAACGTATGAAGCTTGGTTAACCACGAAGTCGACCTTCGCTGGATTTTCTGTGGTTATACGGACAATGTCGCTCAAAAAGTAGATCAAAAATCGAAAAACTATCGCAGCTTGATCCCTAGAGAATAGATTTTTCGAATTCTTGATGACTCCACAACAGCGTCTACATATCTCGTCAACGCTGTCAACGTCGCCAATTCGTTTATGCCATGCTCCAAATATTTTTTTGACATCACAAGGGGCCGTTTTCATCATCTGTCCAAAAAAGTTCGCCCGAATGTTGTCGTTGACAAGTTCTTCTTCTAAATCTGACCTCTTCGTTAGATACTTTAGCACAAAGCATAAGTTTGGCATGAACATTGAAACTGTCAAGTACTTGGAAAGTGGTGCGTTGTCGTTGTCAAAAGAAGGTAATTTCGTTTCAACTAAATTCCAGTACAACAGGCCGAAACTGATGAATTCTATTGTCTCTGGAACGCTTGCCTTGAGGAAGTTTTGCAAAAAATTGCTTCGAATTTTGGCAATCGCGGCAGCCACTTTTGCCATGGTGGTCGTGTTGGTTATTACTTCCGCGTACAATTCCAAGAACTGCATAATGAAGACAATCTTACTCAAGTCGAAGAGAAGAGGCCTCTTTTGAGCTATCATCATGAAGTCGCAGATGCGACCTTCCATGTGAAAATTTTTCAAGAAGAGGAAAAGCAACCCGTAGTCTTTTCCCTCAATCTGGACCCCTTTCAGCAACTCCTCTAAAACGTTCGCCGTCAGTTTCAGCGTGGGTTGAAGACGCTCGGTGGCCACGTCGTCGCTCACATCCTCTGAACCCTTAATACAGCTGTAGATGTTTTCCCCCAACGGAAACATGATCCTGTTGATAACACCCCCACAGAAATTTTCGTCGTGCTCCAAAGTCCTCTCCAAAATTTTTCGCACGAAACGACTGCACTCGTCCACGACGACACCATCACGGCTCGCCAAACACAAACCAAGAACATCCTCCCACAAATTGCTCCCCGTCATCCATAAAATCCCGGCTTCGTGATCCAAAAAAGCACCCAACAATCTAACGTACGCCATTTTGATCTCCGTCACTTGCGACTCCCTAGCTTTAGTTGCTTTGATCAATTTAAGGAAAAAGTTGTGGCTGTTGAGTTCGTTGAATTTGTCTTCGTTTTTGCACAACAGAGCGGCCAAGTTTAGAGCGAAAGAGATGGAATGGGTCCCAGGGGTGACACCTGGGGTGCCCCAAATACCGACTGTTTTGACCAACCATTCCGAAAATACCGGAAAGATATGTTTGTCGTCTGTAAAGACCCAGTTAGAAGAAATAGTAGCGATTTTAGGACTGACCTGTGTTTCGCGACCAAAGTTCAACCAAAGTTTTCTTCAGATCGCGGTCGATTTCGGTTGCGCAAAATTTTTCAACGAGACGTGTGGATTTCGTCATACTACGAGAGGATAAAGTCGCCATTCTATACTACCGTAGGTAAACGAAACACGAGTAATCGTTGCAAGTAATGAGTCAGTTTAGGAGGAGCTGTCGTAGAACGATATCTGCGTTGATAACGGTGATATGATAAATATGTTACGATAGCACTTTCCTCTGTATATTTGTATATGGATTACGCTGTGGAAATTTTGCGTAAATGTATTATTGTAAAAGGTTGATAACGGTCTTTATCAAAATAATACAAGCCACTTAGAGTATCATTGCGTGAGAGAGAAAATCGGCACTGGGAGATTAGAACCGAACACTAAACTGATTTATAGATTGTACTTTGCAAAAACTTACTTTTTTTGGAAATGGTAGTGACAGTATAAATCACTTCCAACGTAGCCACGTTCACTTTTGGATTCTTGTTGAGCAATTTTGAGTACAACAAAGGTCCCAACAAATTTACGGTTGGGTCTGGCGCATCTTCGAACAGAAGAGCCATATTAGGGGCTAGATAGTGAGCAATAGCAATATTAATCACTTTAATCACTTGAACTACTAATTTTGAACTCCACTCTGTCAAAGCCAAAAAGTCAAAACACACACTTATGACGTAGGTAGTTTCAATACAATCCTTCAAGGTTATCTGGAATGTTTCTATTAAAATACCAACAAGTTCGAAGATCTGGGGACAATAGAGGAAGTCTTTGACGAGAATATCTATTTTTTCTGTACTGTCCTTTGTGGTACGAACGATATCTATCAAATGATAGACCAAGGTTTGGAAATATACAATTCCTTCTTCTCTTGAAAAGTAAATAATACAATTCTTGCTGGTGCTGAAAGCTTGTTCGCAAAATTCCTGAAGGTTTGGGTCGTTCCTGTTACGATCATCCCAAAAATAAAAAGTTCTGATGAAATCGAAAGAAACCATTGACTGTATCTTCATGTCAAAAACATTTCGAAATTCGTCGTTCGAAACTTCTTCTTCGTATTGTGTTATCTTTAATAAAAATTTCTTTACGAAAAGAGTGCAAATCGGCATTATAAAGAAACCGATCAGTTGGGTCGTAAAATGGAACGATCTTTTAGTGGATTTAT